TATATAAATTAATTACAAAAATTATATTTATTATCCTTTTAACTTATGTAATAAAAATCTATTTATATATTATAAGATACATGTTATAAACATATTAATTAAATTTTGACATGTCTTGGGCTCAAACCTTCATCATAATTTTGAGAAACAAGACGATACATCACTAGATCCATTGCAAAGCTATTATCAAATGCTGCACAATATTATATTTATTGATATATAATTAAACCAATGATTTTATAGTTTAACCAATTAAACTGGTGAAATCGAAACCTAAAAATCAAAACGATTCGACCTCTAAATCGGTTTTCAAAACATTGCTATTGGGCAGGTAAGACGAGTTCACCTAAATTACTATAAAGAAAGAAATCCTGAGTAAACAACTATCCTGTTTCTGCTTTTTGAAATCCTGATGAGTTGAGTTATTTTTCCAACACTCGGAAGTCTTTCTGGTCTTAAGTCAAGTTAATTAATTAGTGCCAAGCGTTCTGGATTGTGAATCACGCACGCAGTAGGTAGGGTTGGTTAATTTTATTTCTCCTTTTCACAAAATCTTTTGCCCCACCATAATACAATAGCTTTTACAGTTCTTGTGCTACTGTTGTGCAACGTGAAGACTAGAAAATCACATCTCTGCCCCGAAAGACAAGTTTTAAAGGTCTTTATGCAACGTGGGGATGGGGATCTTGGGAAATAACTGTCAAATCTTGCAGCAACCTCAATTTTTTTGGCCATCGAAAAATCTGTTCATTAAAATAAACTCAAAGGGGTGAGTTACACAGTACAGAAAAGTGATTTTCAGAACTGCTTGGCAATCCTGGCACCATCATAGTCGTCATCATGTGGGTCTTACTCACACCACATGATGGACGGCTGTGATAGTGCAAGAATTGCCCAATATGTCTGAAGTAATTTTTTTTGATTCATGAAAAATGATTTTTCAAAGACTAATATATAACATACTCCTCTTGTTTCAAGATATGAAGCTTTAAAATATTTTTTTATATAATTTTAAATAATGTTTTTTTAATATATAAATTAAAATTTTTTAATAACTCTTATTAAGTAGCCTTATTTGATAAAAAAATTCAATTATCATTAATATATTTGTAATACCCCAAAATTTCTAGAGCATTAAAGTGAGTTAGGGACTTGTTTGAGAAAGAAATATTGTTTTAGGCTTAATAACCAAAGTTTGAAAGTTGAGGGGCTTAAAAGAATAAAGATATTGGATAAGGATCAGCCTTTTTCTTTTCTTTTTCTTC